AATTATGTACTCAGAGGTGGGTAGAGTAGCCAAATATTGTACTCAAGTAAGAGTACTGTTGCTTTAAAACAATATAACTCAAGTAAAAGTAAAAAGTATTTTGCATTAAAACTACTGAAAAGTACAATTTATCCAAAAAGTTACTCAAGTAAATGTAACTGAGTAAATGTAACTAGTTACTACCCACCTCTGCCCAGACCTTCCACATCCTGGGGCCCATAGAGCAAGTGCATTACACATCTTCGCCAACCAAGTTGCTAACTTCCAGTTTAGCCTTCCACTAACTTGAATGGAGATAAAATTATTTAATTGAGTGGCTCTTCTAGATTTTCGTAATTTTATCAAACTGAATGTATCAAATTCCGTTAGTGAAACGAGTCATTTTGCTGGGGTCGTGATGCTCACAAAGTATATCTTAACTTACAGACATCTCTTTCACAATGTAAGTCTTTGGAGAAAAATTTTTGGACATACTGGCATCGCATGACAGACTTGGAAGTTGTAGTTACATGGTTTAGCCACTATATTAAATTGTCACAACCCCCGCGAAATTACTCATTTTGGGCCAATAATGTTTCTAAAGTCTAGAAAAGCTGCACTATTAAGTCATTTTCGTCTCCATTTAAGTTAGCGGAGCACTAAACCAGAAGCTAGCCGTTTGGCAATTTGCGGCAAAATGCGGTAATTTTATTCTGCAGAAATCAAGCTTTGTTTGGCTTCATGCACCACTGAGCAACTTTCATAGCAGTTGCCTCTGCCTCCGGCACTGTATCCAGTTCTCTTTATATATCCATGGTTGACACACGTCGTTTGTGCCAGAAATCTAGCCGTCATAGTTCAAGATCATACCAGCGCCCCAGGAAAGTAGGTTAGCCTTAAAGCCAGTTTTCCCAGTGGCCACTCGTGGTATTGCAGCAAAAAAGTCCCCTTAGGCCTACAGAGCATTTTCCCCATAGGCCACCATTATAAAAGATGTCTGTAAAACTGTTGACAACACACAATGGGACACATCAAACTGCAAACAAAGTCAATTATGGTTCTTTCCATTTTTGATCCATGGAGGTTTTATACTTGTAAAACTTTCCATGAGCCAAGGAAAGCAATTTTAAAAATCTGTGATGTCATCATTATTTAAAGTCTATGAGCTGAGTGGGAACTTGTACTGCCCATATTTAGTGAGCTGCATGCCAGGGAAGTAAACCCAGAAGCTAAAAACGTTTTTGTCATATGTGCCAGGCAAGCGACTCCATTGGAATTAACAGGCACCACCTTGGTATCCAGTATCTAGGCATTATTATAAATCTGTGGATTGTACCAAGTGGCAGACAGAATTGCATAGTGAAAGCGAAGCTTATAGAAAACCAGTCAAAATGCCAATGCCTAAAGCCATAACAGTCCTAAATTCCCTACATTCCTGACACTTGCGTGAATAAAAAGTGAACATCTTTGCACTGTGTCTCAGCAAAAGCACAAAGATTTTTGTTTTCTCCTCCTCAGTTGGACCAGCTACAGTGTGAGCTGACTCGAGTGCTGAGGGAGAGAGACGCCTACAAGGCTCGCTACGAGAAGCTCCTCAGCACGAACCACAGCATCGGTGGCGACGCCCCACCGACCCGCACCAGCAACCCACCTTCCCCGCCCCCTGACTACTTCCTCTGAGCTTAACCCACAGGGGAGAGGAAGAAAAAAACCAAGAGGAATGAGAAACCAGCCAACGTGGAGCAATCAATGATGAGTAATCAGACTTGGGGAAGAAAACAAGGATGTGTATGTGTGTGTATGTGTGTTTGTGTGTGTGAGAGAAAGTGAAAGAGAGGCATTGGCAGGCAGTTTTTGGGGCGATACAACTGTGAAAACCACTCTTGAGTGAATAAAGGGGAATTGACTGTTAATTTGTAGGGTTAGACTCAGCTCTAGGCTGCTTCATGGACTCTTTTACTTCACTGTGAATGATAGTTGCACAAAACTGAGCTGAGGGTGCAACAGCGGACAAACAAGACTCTGAAAAATGGATCGACAAAGCTTTATCTTGCATTAAAACTCATCAATAGTCCCTGACACCGCTGAGCATATTATCTATGCAATATTATATAGCTGCAATGAACTCTCCAAATGAGCGGTCGAGGCTCAAACTGTAGTTGTGTTTTTTTATAATAAGCTGCTAAAGCTGCAGAGGTCTGAGTAGTGCAGTGGTGCTGGAAGTGGAGTGGTATGGGCTTGGATAAAGTATCCACGGCATGCAGTTGTATTTGCCAGCTAATATTTCACAGTTGCCTACCAAAGTGTTTAAGCTCACCAAGACTTGTTATTCTTTGTAAGATGAATAATCATAGATTAAAGAATGTACAAGGATACCTTTCATAGGAATCTTCCAGTGATTGTGCTAAACATCCCAGAATAGTGGGGATATTGCTCTTGTGTTTTAGCAAAGAAATCTACCTTTTTGCTGGTTGGAGAAGACTTGCTGTTTGCTCTAAAAATGGGTTTTTACATACAGGGAGCTGGTAGTGTGCTGAACTAAAGCGACTGCATATGGTGAAAGAGAGAGAGAGAGAGAAAAACCCATCGCAGCAGGCGAAAAGAGTGTGGCATGATTTGTGTGGTTGTGTCCAGTTCTCCAGACTAGAGAAGCTATTTTTGGGCAGATGGAACACCTCTGTAACAGGGATGATCACCATATTAATGCGACATGCGGCACCACAGAGCTGGTCACTGTGGACTCGGGTACTGTGGGCTAACGGATGCAACAGAAAATTAATGGTGCAGGGATAATAAAAAAAATGCAATCAGTCTTTTCATGGAGACCCCTTCTTAAAAGGTGCAGTGTGTAGGATCCAGGGGGACATATTGGCAGAAATAGCACGTAATATAATAAGAATGTTTTCTTTAGTGTACGATCACCTGAAGATAAGAATCTTTGTGTTTTCAGTACCTTATATTGAGCCATTTATATCTGCATAGGAAGCAGGGGTCTCATTTATAAACATTGCGTGCACACAAAAGAAAGAAAGAGGCGTACGCTGACTCCCACACAAAAGTTTTGATTTGTAAAAACAGACTTGACGGGACAAACTCTGACCCATGCTAACAAACAATTGGTGACGTGGATGGTGAGGCGGAAGCCAGATTGTAGAATTTTTTTGGGCGCACGCCATTTTTGGCTTTTATCCGTATGTACATTTTTAGTATGGATCCTATTCATTTTTTTTATAAATGAAACCCCAGGTCTCAGTCTGCAGAGATCGCCATGTTAACCGCAACAGTAGCTCAGAATAGACAAAACAAACACTGGCTGTAGATAGAGCCACTCGCGTTTTCGTATATCGTAGTTAGAGGCCGCTCCACAACAGACATACAAAACACTGATTTGTAACGTGACACTGCTTTACTCAGTGTCAGTCACTATGTCTTTTTGTTTTGGAATGGACACATCTGTGGATAATTCAGCTCATGGTGATAACTTCCTAAACATCTGGATCTTTAGTTATAAGAGAGGCAAGCGCACATTAGCATGCGGTGGGCTAGCCGCCTGTCTCCAAGATGCCAAACAGCATCAACAAAACACTGATTTGTAATGTGAAACTGCAGTTTTAATCACTTGGTCTGTTTGTTGTGGAGGGGAAGAGACCTCTGTGGATAATTCGGCTCTCAGTTAAAACCTCCTGAATGTCTGGATCAGAAATAAGATGAGCACACATTAAGTCATCAGAGAAAATAGGTGAGCACACTTTTGCAGGTGCTGGGCAAGCCGGCCATCTGCAACATGCCGAACAGAGTAAGAAAAACACTGATTTGTAACGTCAAAGAACTTTATTTAGGGTTTTATCAGTTTTAATCACTGGGTTGTTTTGGAGAGGTTTAGACCTCTGTGGTTAATTTGGCTCATGGCAAAAACCTCCTGAATGGTGAACACTGAAGTTTCAGCTGGTTGCAATCTGCTATATGCCATTAAATCCCCCTAAATCTTACACATTGAACCTTTAACTGTCCCATGAAATCATTGCCAGGGTTCATGCATTAGAGCTATTTATTTTGTTTGGGTATAGGTTAAATAAAATGTTCTTTTATTTATTCACTTATTTATTCAGTATTTATTGTTTATTTATGTACTGATTCTAATTATTTTACTTTATTGGTTTTATTCCATTAGCGTGTATTTTTACTTTCCTACAGTTTATTATTTTATCCAATTGTGATTAGCATTAACAAACAATGACGGCCATGATCATGGTTTCCTGCTCCTGTTGTAGTGTGGTTTCATATGCATATGAAATAAACAGTACTTTACCATCCCTGTCATGCTGTGGAGTGTTTTTGTGCACCTTGCATGGCAGGCTCTAACCTCATCTCGTTTCTATTCACCTATCTGAGCATCTCTCGCTCTCAGTCTTCTGCAGGCCTTTTCTCTGCAGCTTGCCCTGTAGCCCCCCATGCCCTGCTCCATCCCTCTCTTTATCTCTGTCCCTCTATAGTGAGGCAGTGACCCTGGGTGTGCACTGTTTGGGATGACCTCATCTTCAGCTCTACCTCCCTCTCTGTGTCTCTCGCTCTCTCTCTGGCCTGTATAATAGGAGCAGGATTAGGGCTATAATAGCGCCCTGGCTGCTCACTGCCGGAGTCTATTGTGGCTTTGTGTGGGAGGGACGCACCACTGCTCATGGCCACACTCACATTTTGACAGAAAACATGTCCAAATACACTCCTTGGATCAGGGGCTAGAAATGACTTGATTTGGGAAAAATGTAAACGAGACCGTCACTCACAAAAGGTCACGAGTGTCTTTCAAAAAAGAGGAGGCAGACTGATGGATCTGGTGGGCAGGTAGGCAGGTTGTCATGCCTCTATCTACAAAAGGAATACCCAAATGAGTCACATTTTAAACATAAATCCCCCAAGGACACACACACACACACACACACACAAACAGAGCCAATTAGTGAGGGCTTGTCTTATGCTGCCCCCTAGCGACCACTTTCCATATCGCCTCCTCCTTCCAGAGGTCAATGAAAGCTTCGTGACACCGAGCATCTCTCCACAGCGCTGCTCCCAGCCCGCCTGCCTCCCTGCACCACTGCTCCACTTTCACAAACAGAGCTGCATGCACCTGCAGAACACGCTCGCGGCGCGTGAGTCCTCGGGGTCGCGAGTTCCATCTCTCCTCTGCAGAGAATCCAAATCTGGAGGAGCATTTACGTGTCAAGTCAGTGAGTCATAGTCAGTGTGGAGAGCGGTGATGAATGACGGTGCTGACTGCAGAACTGGACCTGGGCCCTAACCTGAGGAGACACACTGATAGTAGAGAGAGATAGAAACTGAGAGAGGCAGAGAGCGCGCGAGAGAAGGAGGAAAGAGGAAGACCGTGCTTACTTTGTAGTTGCCGAGAGCCGCGTGACAGGTGAGAGATCACACCGTGATGCTTGGGGCTGGGTTCATAAAGTCAGGCAGGGGGAAGGGGAGGGGAGGGGGCGAGGAGGTGGGTGTTGTGTGTCTTTTGGAGTCCTCATTCCCGGTGGCTTGGTTTCAGTTTGCAGATGCCGACAGATGTGCCCGAAGATAGGCTCAACACCGAGGAGAAGGCGGCCAAGGTAAGGTGCACGGGGCTGCGCGAGCTCGGGGCGAACAGCTCCAATATCCAGTGATCAATTAGCTAATCAGGTTTGGGGCAAAGTGGCGGGATGAAATGATGTCTTACTGTGAAATTAATGGAGGGTGTTATTGATCTGATCTGACAGTGTGTGTGTGTGTGTGTGTATGTGTGTGTGTGTTTAGGTGGTAGAAGGTGGTGCAGGGAGGGGGTGTCCTGCATTTGAGTCAATTTATCATTACAATCAATCATTAAATCCAACTTTTGACAAACTGGAAAATTATTGTTGCTTTTAAACATCATTTAAGTGGCTTTAGTGAGTATATATACTATTTACATGTAAAATAATAACAATAGATCAATTGAGGTGTGATGTTAAAGCTGTTTAGTGATAGTTTCCACTCACCTGTTCACAGCTTCATTATGTGTTTTTTTTTTTTTTAACTAATTGTTTTCCTTTTGTCACCCAGTATTGTGTGTTTTTATTCCCACTGTCGTCTCAGTGTTTTTGGACGCAGCTCGTACGCCAGCAACAACAGCTCCAAAAGGCAGACAAGCATTTAGCAGCTAAAGAGCCAGATATTTTCTCCTGGAGGTGGAGGAGACCAAAATAGAGCTGAGAAAACTAATTGGTTTTGTTTTGTCACCCAGTATTGTGTGTTTTCATTCTCACTGCTTTCTTAGTGTTTTTGGATGCAGCTGTTTTCAGAAAAGCTCTTAAACTCCACTGTGTGCCAGCAACAAATGGCAGACAAGCATTTAGCAGTTGAAGAGCCAGGCAGTTTCTTCAGGAGGTGGTGGAGACCAAAACAGAGCTAAGAAGGGAGTCAGTATTGGACTTACATTCATCAAGTTGAAACAAACATGACTTCAAATGAATGATAATGTTGCTCTGTATCCATGAGTGGATTATGACACATTGGGCCCCTGGGCAATGACACACTAAAGGCCCCACCACATCTCCCACATAGGAGCAAGACACAGTTTTGTGGTGGTTTTGCCTGTTTTTTGCTGTTGATTTGCACCTCTCTGTAGTCATTATGCATTGTTTTGTGTCTCTTTACGCTCATTTTGTCACTTTGTGGTCATGTTGTGTCTCTTTATGGTGTTTCCGTGGCTCTGTGTGGTCGTTTTGAGTTTCGTCCTTGTCAGTACGTGATAATTTGCGTGATATTTTTCAGATGAAAGCCAGGGTGGCCTCTGACAATTTGGGCCCCTTGGTCTGTGTCCGTTAGGCCCGTTCAGTAATCCATCCATGTCTGTATCTGAGCTTTTAGAGTAGAATATACCAGGGTTGTGGAAATTGGTTTAATAGGTTTAAAGGGGCGCTCCACTAATTTGGATCCTTGTCATGAGGAGTACTACCCATCCTGTGGAGAAACGTTTTATTATGTCTTCTATGTCTGCAGAGGTGGTTTGCCAATTTCCTTAGGACATTAGAGCTAAGGTCAGTGTTATAGGCTAAAGTGGGGCTGTTACAATTGAAAGATGAGGGCATTTAAAGGTCCAGTGTGTAAGATTTAGGGGGATTTAGAGACATCTAGCAGTGAGCAACCAGCTGAAACCAGTGTCCATTGTTCAGGAGGTTTTTACTGTGAGCTGAATTATCCGCAGAAGTCTCTTCCTCTCCAAAACAAATGTACACAGTGATTAAAACTGGTAAGAACACTGAATAAAGCAGTTTAACGTCAGAAAAAAAATCAGTGTTTTTTCAGTGCTGCTTGTCACTGAGGGGCTGCTAACTACGGGGAAAATGCAAAAAACGCAAATGGCCCTATCTAGAGCCAGCGTTTGGTTTGTTCTTTCTGGACTACTGTAGAAACATGGGGGTGCAACATGGCGATCTCTGTGGAGGAGGATCCGCTCCCTGTGTAGATATAAACAGCTCATTCTAAGGTAACGAAAATTCGACAATTGTTTTTTTTTTTTTTCAGTCGATTATACACTAAAGAAAACACACTCATTATATTCCACTTCTGTCAGTATTTCCCTCTAAATCCTACACACTGGACCTTTAAGAGTCAGGGAAAGTCTAATGAAAGCTGAGTTGTACTATGGGAATCGTAGGATCCAACGTTTTTGAAGCTTGACTCACACAAGTGACTTAAAGGCAGGATATCAGCCTCTGCTGCAAGTCCCCTGATTTTATGGAGGTGTAATAGAAATACTACATGACTGGAGTATCACAACATCGTGCAAATATGACACTGAGTGCTATTTTTAACATGAGAAACACCATATCTGACCACAGACTCGCTTTAAATGGTTCTA